TTAAGTTGTGCTTGGCTGCGAAGTCAAATCAGGAGTATGGTTTAAATATAGATTTCATGTCATCCAGATCTTCATATCTTCTCATATTTTATTTTGTGTTCTTATAGTGGAAGTCCATTATGAGAACAGGTGTGATTGCAGATTTCTGCTCATATCCAGATGGGTTCTAGGAAACTGAGCTGTTTTGGGTTGAGGTCTGACCCAAAATAAAACCAGGTGAACCAGGTTCAGATTGAGAACTTCATTGGAACTAGAGATGCATATAGTGTGAAGATGGAGGTTAAAGCCGGTTTACCCAAAACTGGGGGTTTTTTGTTTTAAAGAAATAAAAATGGGAAATCATTAGAAAAGAACAAAGCATTTGTAAACTTATTGTTCTTACAGATTATTATGTATGGAGTACACAATCTATTACCACATTGTGCAAGTCTTACTTATGTTCCAAAGCACATCAGTGTTAATTTGGTTATATCCTTTGAGAAGCACTGGTTGATTGGTTGACATGTTGCTTACATGTGGTACACAAACAATTACATGTCCTGTTTAAGTGTTGTATACCGATATTTTTAGTCACTTGAATGCCCCAGCATAAAATACCTGCATACACATTCTGGCACATTACAAAGGGAAATATCCTGTGTTTTCAAACTGCTTCACGTCAGTTGTATTTCCAAGGTGAAAATGTTTGTTACTGTCCAGGTTCTGTAGGTGTTAGATGTACTTTTTCTACTGGAGTTCAATGATTTTGTCTTGTGTAAGTGTTTTATTTAATTTGTCACAGTTGTTTTCAATATTTGCAGCAGGGATTTCCTCTGGTATAAAATAGACTTTATTAGACTTGCCTGTCTAAGGGCAGGAAAACTTGTCTTCTGTCAAAAGACAGATATGTTTTCATGTTTGTTCTGGCTTAATTATTTATATTATGTATTTATTTGTGTCCACTGTTCTCCCACATGATTTAATGCTGGCAATAGATTTTTCTTCCTTGTTTTTTCTATCTTCTTGCCACAGGTTTGTTGATTCAGCTGTGTGAGTCTGAAGGATTATTCGTTTTAGGGAGCTGTCAATAAATGGAGTTTAAGCGGTGTTGAATAACACTGTTTCCTTTTCCACTGAAAAACAAACACAATGTCTTTTAATGCCCTTGTGTGTTGGGCTGTGCCTCATGCATCTTAGTGGCAGTGATTGGAATGTGAATGTCAGTGGTTCTAAGCAGTTAGAAGAGGTATAAAGTCTGTAGTTAATTTTGGCACTGGTGTCTCATACCAAATGCTCCATAAAGGAAAATGAAATGCCAATTTCATGAGTGCATTTTGTACTGATTAGATTTAGTTCATTGAGTTTGCTGTTGCTATTCTAGGTTGCTTTGATAGTAACTGAAGAGTGGATATCAGTGCAAAATACCTGTTAATTTCCATTCCCTCCCTTTATTTAGTCTTCTGTCTCAATAGTCTCAAGGGATTGGAGTTTGTGCTTAATATATTTTAGTTTGTCTGTATCTTACTGCTGTTATTATAATGAAGGATTAAAATGACTCCTAGAGTATGCATATTTTCATGCTTTGACACATATTTCCTAAGCACTGTTGTGATGATGTAGGCAGCTGAGCTTTGGTGTTTGTGGTCCTTTGGGTATCCACAGCAGAATCAGTGGTGTGATCTGCAGCTGCTGTGATCTGAATTATATGTGTCAGCTTTACAGATGTAAAGAGCAGAAGTAAAACATAATTTAGTTGTTCAGATATGTAGTCACATCAGAGTACAAATATTGTAATTTCATATGAAGGAGAATAATTGCTCTTGGAAGAATGGGGGATAATGAGAGATGTTGCCATGTAGTTGCCTAATTAATCAGCCCAGGTCAAATTTCAGTCCTTTAAAATGCTACCAAGATCCAGTAGAACATGCTGTTTCCCTATAGTCAAAACAATTTTCTTGGTAGTGGGGGGAAAAAAAACCACCAACCAGATTTTTCTGATATTCCTGTTGTAAGGATTTTAAGGTCATGTGTAGCTTGACTCTATGTGGCTAGAGAAGTCTGTGACATATGAATGAAACTCTAGAGCACTTATATATTATCAGTATCCATTATTCTCAAAAAGGGCCAGAAAATAAAAGTAAGGGGGAAAATTTTCATGTTGCATTCCTGTTTACCTGCTAGGGAAGTCCGTTTAAACCCCATAAATTGATCAAGGTTTTTTTCTTTAAAGAATGATTCAGGGGTTTTTTTCTGTCTTCCAGTCTCATCAGTTGAGTCTAACATCCATAAACAGGGGAGCTAGTCTAGGCATTGGACTGTGATTCTTTTACTCTGCAATCACACAAAGATTCATAGATAACTTTGTGTCATGTGAACCTGCTTTGTTGCTGACAGGAATTTGAACAACTTCCAGTTGCTCTGAACAAACAATCAAGAAGTTTGATCTAATGATACAATTTTATAACACAAAAAAAATCTAAGTAAATTAGCTTTTAAAGCTAATTATGAAGCAGTTTCTTGTGTTCCTATTAATCTTGTTACTTTGTTTATTCTCTAAGCTCTTTAATGCAGGGAAGCGTAACTGAAGGGTGTCAAAGTACATCTCCATTAGTAACACTCTGGTGGTTTGACTGTGCGTTTTGTCCAAGCAGCACGACTCAATCAATATCTTCCTTGCCTGGGAGAGTCAAGGGAGTGTCTATGGCAAGCCAGGCTCCATGTGCACTTCAAAATATTCCAGAATTATTCCTGTGTTTAATTGAATTCTGTGCTTCTGAGGCTGGAGGGAACAAGATCAGTTACCATTGTCGAATTTTGGACATTCCCTGTGTGTTTAGGGTTTGAACTGTGGTCGTGTGAAGCAGCGCGGCGAGAGAGAAGAAGGGTCGGCCTTCTCGAGCGTCCTGGCAAGCTGGCCAGCACCGCTTGCAGCTTGGGGGGCCCTGTCCCACTCTTGGTCTTTGGGACTGTGCCTAAGGAGAGCACCCTGCATTATAGCAGTGATGCTTCCTTGCAGGAGGACGAGGCCACCTCTGGCTACAACCGGCAGGAAATAAGAGAGCGCTCTTCAGTAGGGGCAAGTCCAGGTTTATTGAAGCTCTCAGGGAAGCCAGCAACAGAAGAGAGCATGGGAGCGACTACAGCAAGTTATAAAGGAGAGGGTTACAGGGGAGGAGCCCAACTTCGGGCGAATAGGAGTGCAGAGGGGAGTGGGGTACAGGAAATTGACATAAGGGAAATACCAATGATAACAACTTGGAGGAGGGGCCCCGGCCCCTGAACCAATCACTCCGTGCCCTAGACAGAAGTTTCCAGAGAAAAAGGTGGTGGCAGAGAGTGACTGGCAGGGCAGTGGGGAGGGGTTTAGAAAAATATACCTCGATCTCCAGAGAAAATCTCCAGAGAAACCGGGGAGGAACCAGAGTAACTGACAAGTACAGGGAGGGGAGGGAGAACCAGGGCAGAACCATTGCAAAACATGTGGAGAACAGAACATACCAACACAACACAACAGTCGTGAGTTCATAAGAAAATGTCAGCTGGTTCACATGGGCAGGTCTGGGGAAACACCTCCTGTTTGCCTGCCTGTCAACCAAGATTCCTGCAATACTCTTCACAGGCACTTGGCACAGCTACAGCATAAGGGCTAAGTTCTGCTTTACTCTTAAAACACAGGTTCATCTTCTTCGTGAATAATAAATATTTTCTCCACTTTTGCAACTGTTTTTTCTACATAGAATTACTTTCAAGACATTTGCTACTGTGATAATTGATTGATCTGCGAGTTAATACTAATTAGGCAATAGCATAGAATTCTTTGTTCCCAATTATGATTATTTAAATAATTTTTAAATGAAATTTGGAAACAGTAAATAGCTATGATGGTTGTTTTATTTGTTAAAAAGAAAATCTTAGAAAATATACTGTGTATCTTCTCAACTTGATCTGATGAAGAACACAAGCCACAATGATGCTATTGGTGAATGGCCAATATAATTATAGCATGTAAATGAAAGACAGACTAAGATTCATACATTCTGATAGTTGATAATTGAAATGAGTTAAATTCATACAAAGTTTTCTGTAAGTGTGGCTAACCCATCTTGTGAAGTAATTGATATTTGGTTTAGGTAGTTTTCTGGTTGCTTGCTCAGCATTTGTTGAGAGGTGTACTATAGTCCTTTTGAGATTTTTCAAAACTTACAGTAAGAACTGTTGGATCTCTACAGAAAATGCAGGATCAGACTGAATCAAGGTTAGTGGTTGTTTATGGAAGGTGAAACCTCCAGGGTAATGCAGCAGGTGAATAGGTCACAGTGTTTGAGAGCAGCTCTATTTGATTTGCAATTCGGGTGTGGAAATGTGAGTTATACCACCAGGCATGAAACCCAGAATAGCTTTGTTTCATAATATTTGAATGAGGTTTTTTTCATTATTAATAAAAGATACACCAACAGAGATTGATATCCTGTACATCCAGTGTTAGAATTAGAAACAGTCTTAATAAAATGGAATTGATTTTTGGCTTTGGAAGAAAAGCCTGACTCCTTTTTTGCGTTCGTCCTGGCTGTATGACATTTTTCACAGTGCTGAAAATTTGTTCATAAAAGGATGATTATTACTGTTGTTCTTGTTGTTATTATTATTACTGTTATTATTAGTATTAGTATTTAAAACCTCCATGAACATGTATTTGCACTAACAGACCATTTCAGAAACAGAAGGTCCCTAATTTTGCTTTTCTTGGCAAATTAATCCAGAAACATTTTTAACAGATTCTACATCTCTTTAAAGATGTGTTTTTTCTTCTTAAATTGCACTGGAGCCAGCATGAAATGCTGGACTAGATGCAAACCTGCTATGAAATTGATATTCTTTTTTACTCCTTTTTCTTTTTTTTAAGCAATTACTCAGTTCTTATGGGTCTGCATGTTACAGTCTAACTGAATCAATTATATTTAAGTGCACAGAAGTTGGTCATGTTTAACTTGTGCTGTTTACCATTTTTTGTTTCCCTATAGGTATATTCGAATTGTTGGGACCCACAACACAGTGAACAAAGTTTTCCATATTGTGGCATTTGAATGCATGTTCACGAACAAATCCTTTACCCTTGAGAAAGGTCTGATAGGTAAGAGATAAAACCATTTTCCTTTCTTATGAACTGGTGTAAACACTTTTAAAGCTGGCCATTACTGCACTCTACTTCTGTTTCCATCCAGAAATCTCTAAATTGAGTTAAACAGTATTGTAAGCATAGAATTAATTGGCTAATCCTTACAACTTCTATGAAATTCCTGTACTCTGGATTAATTAATGATGCTGCGGGAATGCTGAAATTCAAATCAACTGCTGCTGACAAAGCCACTTGTAGCTGAGTCAGTCAGTGCTGGCAATGTGATTTTTCTTTGCCTGTCACAGTATGGTTGCTCATGCCTCCCAGTAGGTTAGCCTGAATTCTTATACAAGAATGGACTAAGCACAGCTATTTATTGTAGTGATGATGGATTTGGACATTTAGGGCCTCTTATACAACCTGGTTACAACTGCTGAAAGTAAACTCTCATGTGTTCATTTCCCCCCAAAGAGTCATAGACATGCTTAGCCATGGCAGAACATTATATCAGCTATGCTGCTGTTATTCTCAGAACACCATGCTGATGGAGCACTCTTAGCTCTGGGCAGCTTATACAGCACTGATTTAAGTACCTTTATGTTACTTAAGGTAAAATCCCCTAAAGATCAATGGTACTGAATGATCAAATGTGTCACAGAAAGATTTAATATTGATTTTTTTAAATCGTTAAAATGGGGTGGTTTCTGTGCTTTCTTCCACATGAACTCACAAAAGTCAGATCCTGAAGTTCACTGGAGAGAGAGTGTTGAGTAGTTGTCTAGGGCAGATTTCCCAAAATTTATTACTTATGGCATAAAATCAAGAATTTCAGCAAAATTCTCAGAGTTCATGCTGGTTTTAAACATATATTTAAATTTTAAATATATACCCGTGACAGATGGAAGGGAAAACAGTTTTGAAAATAGGAGGAGAAGGAACATTTTTTTAGTAAGACATATTCACTTCAAATTTTTCTCTGAGAAAGCTATAATATTTAGCTGTGAAAAGGCAAGACCAAATTTCTCTAGCCTGTTCCCCATGCATTATACAAAGGCAAATCAAAAGCCTTCCCTTTGTTTTAGGCAGCATGCAAACAGCAATGCAATTGCTATTGACTTCAAAATAGAATAAGCAGTAAGGAAGAACTGTGTTAAAAGAAAGTATCTCCCTTCAGTAAGCTATTTAGCAGAGAAACAAAGTATCTCAGATTTGATAGAGCCATTGAGCTGAATTTCATAGTTAGCACTGCCAGCCATGAGTTTTTAAAAACTTCATACAAAATCAGTTAGTGTGTACAAATATTTGTATGTATTTGATTTCAGATGATCAAACTTATTTAGTAAACACTCAATTTTGGACTTAAAGAATTTTGAGTGTTAACACAAAGATTGTTTGATCATAAGTAGGCGAGGCACTAAATCCATGCATGTTTGTGTGAGTGAATTTATACTGAAAGTGACTCATCTTTCATAGACTCAATTATTTTTACTGGTTGAGTGATCATTCTGGTGAGACAAACTGATATCTTTTATCATTTCTTAAGTTTCAAAGGTAATCTAGGGGATGGAGACTTTATATGGATTTATTAAAAATTCTCTGTTTGAGAGAATGGTTTTGTAGAATCTTACAGGTGAATAGCATTTGGCAGCATAATACTTAGGGTTTCTGTTGTTAATGGTGATTGTTAATCAAGGGCAGCTTTGCTGTTCTTCAGTGTGGGTTAGTCAAGATGTTATATGTGTAAGTCATTTCAAGTGATCAACAGTAAGGAAAGATAGGGGCCTGTAGGTTTACACAGGTTTTTATATTTAAGGGATATTAGTCAATTCAATTGGTAGAAAGTTAAAAGTAAGAATTTGAGGAGCAGTTAATTGAAAGTGGGGTGTGGATAGTCTTCCAACTGTCAGTGAGGCACCAGCAGTTGTATACATGACCCTGCAGAGTTTCTGGTGAGAAAGATAGAAAATTGAAAGATTTGGGGACTAGTTGAGGCCAGTCCAATTGTGAAATGGAGCATGGACACCTCTGACTGTCCATCAGAATTTTTGGCCATCAGTATTGCCTATTTAAAAATATTCTCAGCAACTTTGATCCAACAAAGAGATATTACATCCCTTCAATGTTTTTTTTCAGTGTGGTGATTACCATAAGGTGCTATATTGTATCGCTTCTGCAATCAAGCAGACTGCAAGTTCGAGGTCTACCTGTGTAAAAACTCAGTTTGAGTACCAGTGGGTTGGCACAGATTGATTTTATTACTGTGTTGAGGATTTGTAATGTTTGTTTCTGCTTCTGAAATGACCAGATAGGATAAAATGAATTGAAAGCAGTTAGGAAAAATCAACGAAATATAAGAAAGCGCAGTAATCAGAGCAGATTGCTTTTAAGCTTGACTGAGTAGAGAAACTTTCATCTTAAACCCTTGAAAAGCAGTTCATTGGGTTCATTGCTTATCCCATATGTTATTAAATGTGGTAGTTATTAAATTAGCCTAGAAAAAACACAGCTGCTGTTTCTGTACTCTGTTTTATTTAAAAAATGAAGTATTGGTCAGCCCTAGAAGGCCATAAGGTCCTTTCAAAAAGACTTAGTGACCCCCTACTTCTACCAAAACAACACTAAAGATAAGATGTGAAGATTTGTCATTTGAAAACTCATTCCAAAGAAATGAGGCCTCTGAGGTATTTGGTTAGAGATGTTATAGAGACTTGAGAAATTATTTATTTAATTTTTGTGAAAGATACTCAACTTGATCAGAGAGCTGTGTATGTGAAGAGTGTAATTTATCAGATATATTACTACTGGTGCATAATATCTATGTGATGGCCATCACCATACAGTGAAGATTAGAAGGCTGGTAAACAAATAATAAAAATGAAGTGTTGCTTCATTATAACAACAATTTTATGTTGTTGTGTTTTTGTTTACAAGGTTTTACTGAAAAATTACTAATTTTACATATTACAATTAAAAGTCAATATGGAAGGTGATTTATACAGTTACTTTATACAATACTGGATGTGGTACTAACACAACACAATGGTAGCTGAGTAGCACTTTTGAAGCAAAAGTAGCAGAAAATGCTCTTCATAGCACTACCCAGTGTTTAAGTGTTGGTTTACAGTTTGTTGTCTTGTGAAATGAGGTGACAGAAAGGAATGTAATCATATGAAATTATTTCCCTAATGCAGATGTTAAGGTTGAGATGTATTTTTCTTTTTGGCATAGTATTATTTCTAAGTGTGTAAGTTAGCAGTTTTCCATATGAAATTCATGATATTAACATAACTCTTTTGTTTAAAAAGGATGCAAATATTCTTTAATCTGACAATCATAGTGCTTGCTTATAATGAACTTCTGCTTATGAAGTTGTGAATGGTCTTAAGCCATTACTATATAATCTAGAATTCAAAAGAAAAGATTATTTTCTCAAGTAAGAGATATACTGCTTTGGAAGCAGTACCTGGTGTCATGCAGTGTATTGTAAAATGTTCTAATCTGCCCAGTGGCAAAAAGTTACAAGAGTTAAAGAGCTGCTTCTGTGCAAGGCCTCTTTAGGTTTCTTGGATTTTTTTCCATGCCTTAGTAGAGGAAAAAAATTCCTCTTTTCTGCCTCAAATGGAAAAAAAATCATAATCTCAGTGTCCTTTAATCAATACTCAGTGCTAAGGGGCAGTCAAGGATTATGGGGTCTTGACCAACCGTCTTTCTGATTTTGAACCTGGTGAAGGGCGTTGAGAGTGCAGTGTGGATGGTTTTTCCATGGAGCAGTGTTGGTCTGTGGTCTATCTCAGTCTATCAGGCTGTCTTGTAATGTGTACAATGCACATGAAAGAGAGAACAGTGAATAATGAGTGAAGAGCAGAAGATGGATGTAAAAACATTGGAATGTCCTTTGGTCACCCTCTGGGGAATGCTGTTCAGTTCTTAGGAATCATCATGAACCTTCATTTGTGTGCTGTTCAATGCCTTAGGAGAACTTGTTTAAAAAGGGATAAAATGATACAAATAAATATTCACTTGTCTTTTACTCTGGCAGTTATTTAGAAAAAGAAAAAGAACAAACAAAACTCAATGTGTAACAGGGAGAAACCAGTCATATCAGTTTCCTAGTGTGTGGTTCAGCTTCATAAAAGATGACTTTGTCTCTCCCCAAGGAAGCAGTGAAAGATGCTGGGTTTTGTCTAGTTTATTGTTGACTCCACACAAAGCTATCATATTTTGTTTATTCCTTTTTGAAAAGGGTCACATTTTCTGAAACAATGCAGGCTTACCCAGCAGTATAATTCAGCTCTGCTGCAGACATAGCTTTAGGAAATTATGAAAAATTGAAGACAATCTAAGTACTGCAGGATTTTTTTTTCCCCTTTCTGCAAGAAAGGATAGCCACATGGTTGGTTTTGAGAGAGATCTGTTCATGTGGTTCCAGTTCTTTTTTTTTTTTAATCCTTTTCTGTCTGTTTCCAGTGCCACAAGGAGGGATGCACACTTCCTAAAACAACTGATATTTCTGACAGCCCTCTGCAGACACAATGTTTAATGAAAGAGCCCTGTAGCAGCCAATTAGTTGACAATGAAAAGTATGGCCAATTCTAGTGACTTGAATGGTTTTGTTCTAATTTATTGGATTAGGAATCACAAACTGTAGCAAGTATCAAGTGAAAAATCAGCCTTCTCTGAAGTTTTTCTAATACAATTTCTGACAGTTGGACAAAAACACATATTAGTGGGGTTTTCTTTTCCAGCTAAATATGGCTTGCAGAAGGCTTTTCACTGAAACAGGTGAAGATACTATTGATATTTGTTTGAAGTTGATATTTTTTTAGCTCTTGATTTCTTTGAATAATTTAATTGAAGATTCAAATTAAATATAATAATTTCATCAGCAAGTTTCAACTCAAGAAAATAAGAAAGAGTATGTTGAATGAAAGACAGGACATGTGGCTGTACTTTTAATTAACTGAAAAGTCTGTAGATTTCTTTTTTTTTCTACCATGTAGCAAATAAACAAGGGCAAATTCATATATTGAATAAAGATTAGATTTAACAAATCTTTTGGCATGTGGAAAATAATGAGAGCAAAATGCCTTTTACCCCTTTAATTCTTTAATACAATATGATCAAACTCTGAAATAATCCTTGCATACTTTTAATTCTCTTTTTCTTTAGTCTCAGCTTTCTATTTTCCTACCAGCCAGGAAGGAAACTTTCGTCAGTTTAGTAGTTTTCAATTAGAGAAGGAATGCAATTTTATAGTTAAAAATTGAACTATTGGAAGATAAGCTTTTAACAGATATAATCATGAGAGGAAAATCACTCCTTCATACTAACTAAAATAAAATTATGCTACTTCTAGTGTAATTGCTTGTTTATAGTTTTCTTCACAATGATAGTTTTGTGTCTTAAGAGAATTCCCTAAAATGAACAGTTTTGTTGCAATGATGACACATAAGCAAAGAACTTTTGACTATTGCCTAGAGTGCAGTATAAATATATTCAACAGTCCATAATGCTTTAAATTGATGCTTTCCTATAAAATAAGACTATGTAATAGATCTGCTGTCTCCATGTATGTTTATTTTCATAATTTCTTTAAGGTTTACTAATGGCTGGTTTTGTAAACCAGTACAAATACCCACTTTGTTCTGTTCCTTTCTGTGTTGCAAAAAGTTATTTGAGGATTTTCTTTCATATTCCCACCCACACACATTGTAATGAAGTCACAGTGGAAGGACAGAAAGCAAAAGCTGACCTGTCCAGAATAAAAGGAAGTAGTCTACACTCAGATATGGAAGCTACTTTGCAGCAGCAGCAATTACTTTTTTTTCAGAGTGCTTCAGGGGAAAAAAAAATTCTTGTGAAAAATTAAGTATGCTAAAAAGACAAAGAGAAACAAGCTTAAGGAGTGATAAATGACTGAGGCTACAACACACTTCTGGTACATTTTTATCTTGGAAGATCTCTTGCAGCATAAGACAAAGAGACAAGAAAGTAAGTTTTAATAACTGTTTGATGCTGCTGTCCTGTAACCTCAATCATCTTCTCCTTTTATTTGCTTACAGAATGTGTTTGCTTTGCTAACACATGGTCTTTCCTGTTCCATAAAAGCAAATCAGACTTTTCAGCCCAAAACTGTTGTATGAACAGTAGGAAAAAAAAATTGTATTTGTAATCTTCTCTTTTCTCTGACAACATGTAAGAGCTGGATAGCTGGTAGATTTAAAAAAGAAAAAGGAAACAAAAATAGAAACAAGACTGTTGGTTTTGACAGTTTCTGTTTGTAAATAAGTGACCTAAATGGAAGCGGATATTCTAATGGGAAGAAGAAAGACAACCCAAAGACTTGAAAATACAGAAGAGTCCCCATCAGATGGTACTTTCAATAAATTTATCAAGCGTATATAAAAGATAATGAACATTGAAAATAGGGAGTGGCAGACCCCCTGGGGAAAAGGAACAGGATCTCACTTTCTGCGCACTTCAATTAGTCAGAGTCACTTTCTAATTAGCTGTTGTAGGGAAGACCACAGAATTATGTTAAAACCACACCAAGACAGTTTCTGTAAAGTTTTTAAGGAGTTTGATTAATCAGGGTAACATCTTAGGAGGGTCATGGATTAGTGCAGAAATCTAAATGTGAGAAGGAGCAGGATGATGCTCAGAGGGCACACAGGCCAAATATTGCATGAACTGAGCTGCACTACATTCAATTAATCACTTAGCTCAGAGTGTGTCTGGAATGTGCCATGGAGCCTCAATATAAGCATTGATTTTGACTCTTCTACTCATTTTCTTTTTTGCCAAGATTGGAATAGCTTCCTCTTCCTATTAAAAAAAAAAAAACAAACCAGCTCTATGTAAAAGATGCTTTAACGTTTATATAAAATGAATACACAAATAAGTTCCTTTGCTCCCAGGGAGGAGAGGAAGAAAAGGAAGTCTAGACAAATTTTAATTCAATGCCAGTACTCTTAGTTCGCAGTGTTAGGCTTTGCTTTATTGAGATTGTTCCCAGTGAAGTACTTCTAATGTCTAACACCTGCTCTCCCATAAGAATCTAGGAATTGTTGAGTGCCTCTTTTCAGTAATTGGGGAATCAGGAGATTTCTAGAATAGTGAAGTGGTGATTTTAGTAATTTTTTATGAGCAGACAGAGATGATAGTATATTTGGTAATGCAGTAGCTTTTCCAAAACTGGTTGTTTTTCCACTGCCTTGGATTACTGCTTTGCAATGATCTTACAGCTTCTTCCCATATGTTCTTTAAGGTGTTTTGGTTGGTTAGTGGCTTTCTTAAGATTATGCTTCTGACACCAATAGCACAGTGAAATCACAGATTTCTAGCTCTTCATGGAAAATTATCTCTTTTTTTGCATGCTGAAAACTCATACAGTTATCTCTGAAATTTCTCATAGCTATGTTCTAGTCATTTTTGAATGTTATAGTAGAGGGAGGATTCGTCATGAAAATAGGAAGAAATTATTTCAAAATTTCTAAAGTTTTGCTGGACAAGATATTTTTTTCCCAATTGTGTTAAAAGAGTGCTTTCATATCACCAATACTGAAATCCATCTGTTAATTTACCAAGCTATTCTGGAATCAGTGGTATAAAAAGTATCTGTACCACTTGCTCATAGTTCATTTTATGTGAGTTAAATTTCCTTCTGTTGATTTTTTTTTTCTTTTTTTTTTTTTTTTTACCAGTTCTTCTCCAGCAATAAAGACCACTGGCATCTGAACTGTTTTCTGAATGTCTGTCTGTCATCTTTGTGTTTTTAATTTACAGTTCCCACTGAAAATGTGGCAACAATTGCAGACTGTGCCAGTGTGATTGAGGGTGTAAGTCGCAGTCGCAATGCCTTGTTGAATGGAGACACGAAGAACTACGATTGGGATTCTGGATACACGTGCCACCAGCTTGGGAGCGGAGCCATTGTGGTGCAGCTGGCACAGCCCTACATGATTGGATCAATACGGTAGGAGGATTTATTTTTCTCTAAATTAGGGGCCACGGTGAAATTTTTGCTGAGCAGTTATTTTCTTTAGAATGGATGACATTTGGAAATGACATTAATTAGGGGGCTAGTTTAGTAGTTGTCACTTGGCTTCTTACTTCAGTATAACAGGCATGTTAAAAATTAAATGTGTGAATTATATGTCAAGATACAGAGTGCAATTGCAGAAAATAATACTTTTCAGAGGCATAATAGTAGTAACAGTCAAATTATAAGATTAAAGTTATATACTTATTTTATAATAGAATTTAATTGCAGTCTCACTTATGGTTAAGTAGGTGCAGTTACTGTTATCCACTTAATTCTGAAAACAATTTCCTTGAAGAAAATCATCATGTCAAGTCAGCCCCGCTTCCTTTCTGCTATACAATTACTGCTAGTTTTTACTTAAACATGGAGGGTGTAATAAAGGTACAGCAACCTGAATATTGATTTACAAGGCTGGATTTATGAATGTGTTTAGATTTGGATTGAAGTTCATTGGGCTGTTTCTACTGTAAATGTGTGTATACATATGAAGATGAAAATTTTGGCTGATGTAGAGACCTAGGAAATAGATAGGAGAGCCGGATTTTTCACAGGTGAAAAGAAAAATATTCTTGCCAACCTCATAATCTCTGACTATTAATGTTTGGGATGTTTGTTTCATAAAATCCGGCATAGAAAACCTTGTCTTAATGGGATAATGGTCTTTGTAAATTTAGACTGTGCAGTCAGGGACTTAATTTGTATGCTCTGTGACAGAGAAATAAAGATTTCTGAAGTTCAGAGTACCAGTGATCAAAGGCTGAAATCCCAGGTGAGTATTGGCTTGCAAACAGAGACCATGTATGTAGATACGTATTTCTAGGAGCTCAGTGCCTTCCCCCTATTAAGAGCTGCCAAGTGAGATTTGAAAGCTCTTTTATAGCTGCCAATTTCTATTCTGTGTGGTTTGGTTTTGGCCTATGGCATTGTTATGATGGTCGTAAAACTCCAAAGATAAGAGTTTGACATCAGCTATCCAGGCAAATCCCTAACCCAACAAAAGTAGTGTTTTGTGCATATGCAAGCTGTAGATGTTATGCATAATGCAAGTCCAGCATTGTTCTCACTGTGGGAAACAAGTTGAGTAAGTGTGGTTGGCAACTTTCCACACTCATTTGAGTTTAGTGTTGTTAATATTCTATTAAATATTGCATTTCAAGTAGAAAAACAAGCAGTACTCAGATTTCTTTAAATAGGTACATGAAAATGTAATGCTATCATTTTCATGGCATTTTAAACTTAAGTAGCAGTTTTTAGCAGCAAGGCTTTGGCCATATAAAAGATGAAGAGAAGAATATGCTAACTGGAATGGATAGTTTCTCTGTCTTTCTATCGTACTGTTTTCTGATATGCTTCAATTGTTATCCTTCAATTATATATCCTTCAATTGATGCATTGTACCATCCTTTTCCAGTTAGTGAAAAAAACTGAATTCCTATAATAAATGCTATGCTATTGTTTATTCTTGTGCAGAAGATTTTAATAAATCTCTTTATTAAATGGTGTGTTAGGTGAATTAAACTTTTGGTTGCCAAGAAATAATAACTGTGTAATCAGCAAGTGTGTAGAGCAAATTAAAAAAATAACCCAAACATTACATAATTCAAAACTAATAGGCATATAATGATTTATGTGGTATTGAATTGTACAGCTAGAGGTTCAGAATCTCATCTTTCTTTGTCAGTTTCCCTGCATGTATAGTACAACCAAGATTAATAGCTTGCTTTACAAAAATAACAGTAATAAACATCAGAGTCTGGGGTATCTTCTCACAGAGGAGACTACCTGCATTGCCTAGAGACAGAAATGCTAGCAGCATGTCATTTTTCCTTTTTTTGTGTACTGCCTAGAAGAACAAGGGTTTTGAGTTGCAGCCATGTCTATTGCAGGTCATAGGAAGCCAAGGGAAGCTGCCCCTTGGAGTGGGGAAGTGAAGTTTCACTCTGTGGCATCTACAGCCTTGCAAGGGTCTGGAACGTGTTCTGTATTATGCAGTGCTAAAGATGATGACCGTGGTCTCTTTATTCAGCATCAGGAAATCTATGTTTTTTACAGAAATCAAATCATATATAAACATAGACAACAGCAAAAAGTCTTAGTATTTAATCTTTATGGAAGCAAGAAATTTTTTTTGTTAACAGAATGTCTGCCACAACTGATGGAACTGTAGTCACTGCCTGTTTTCCTGCTGTTTGCTTGTTTGAAAACTCCCTTGATCTCATGCTCCCACCAAATAGAAAAAAAATTCCAGGAGCATTTGCTTTAGGCTGGCAGTACACCATGACTACAGAATGAATTAATTCTGCTGCCCTCAGAAACTGAGTCATTATACCCATGGGTTTGGATTTTAAGTGAATAATTAGGAATTAAAGTATGTATCTTTTTAGTTCAGAAACACAAGTGTGCCATTGAATATATTTATTTCAGAGGGGGTAAATATTATATAAACCTTTGAAAAAAGGTAGTAGCTGCTTTTAGTCTATAGAAATGGGAATATCACTGGAGAGAGCCTCTAAGACATATGTTACCATGGCAACTAAATTCTGAGTATGGAAAAAAGACCAGAAGAACTATTGGTGTTCAGATACGCCTTAGAAATGCAGAGAGTTGAATGTTTCAAGAATATATATTGTATGCATGCTTTCTGCCAAAGTCATTCCAATGTCTAAGAATCTTAGAACCCTTCAGGTTGAAAGGGACTTGAGGAAGAAGGAATCTAGTATCAGGTTGTTTCTCAAAGGAGGGTCAGTTATGAAAAAAGACCATCCAAATCAAGGCTTCATGTACACAGGTCTTAAAATTTCCAAGGCAGAAAATTCCACAACTTCTCTGGGTAGCCTGTGATAAGCTGTTCTCAGACACTGACAAGTGCTGCTAGGTTCCTCCCAGCCCCAAGCCTCCTTAGGCTGAACAAGCCAGCTTCCCCAGTCTCTTGCACAGGGTGTGTGCTTCAATATCATAAACATTTAGATGGTCCTCTGCTGGAATTGCTGAGATGTATCAATGTTCTATTTGGATCCAAAAAGGGATTCAGTATCCCAGGCATGATCTAACAATGTCAGATACAGAACAATGATCTCTTTCCATTGTTTTGCTGGCTCAGTTCCTGTTACTCCAGCTCCATAGGTTTGTAACCTTCACAGCCGAGAAGGCATGCAGGCACCTAATGACATCTGTTCAGTTTGACTCAGGAATTCCATGGGAGACCACATTGAAACTTTGTTAATATTGAATACTTCTATTTGTATATAAATAATATATGTATATATGTTGTTATGTATATATATGTATGTTGTTATGTATATATAAATTTGGAGTCTTGACTTCCACATCAAAATTTACTCAGAAATTCTAAAAGAGGTCTAATGACAATCATAGGTCAATACTATTTTCTAGTGGAGAAGACATGGAAAACATGGAGATTTCAATCCCTCCCTTTCAATCCAAACTATTCTATGATCCTATGGGGTTTTTTAAACAGTTGTAACTAATTACAGTCTTTTAGATTATGAAATTTTTAGGAATATTTATGAGTTTTGTTTTTTATTAGTTCTCAGAACAGCTAACAGAGTACTTGTTAATTTAGGTATTTTTTCCACATAGTTGCCTGTCTGGACACAAAATGTCTTTCTACTTTTAGTCCCTGAAAAGACCCATATCAATGGCAGAATGCTATAGTGTTTAATTAGGAGCAGAAAGAAAGCAACTGATGTGTGTAACATAGTAAACAAAATTTAATTTTTAAATGGCTAAAAGTGAATATTGCAGCAGCTGCCATATCACAATGACTTTCTAATTCTCCTTGCATTTATCTGGAATAGAAATATAGTACTATTGTGCTACAGTCTTTGGCTGATTTTTCTTATCAGTTAAAAAAAAAATAATTCTTAGAGTGTATGTGGTAGAGATGGAATTCTATGCCATAGTGATTTTCATATTAGAATAAATAGGAAGACAAAAAGTATGTCTTTAGAAAAGTACGAGAACTATGTATCCAACTTTAATCTTTCTGAAGACTTTAATGGTCATATGAAATTGATAGCTTTTTGTATTCAGAGTAATCCATAAATTAACAAACAGCATCAGTGAACTTGAATGTATTTTCTGTTTGCTTATACCATCATCATATACATCATCATCTTATGCTTTCTGATTTTCCATACCATTTCCACTTATGAAGCTTTTCTTTCTTTGCTGCTCATTTTCTGCGCTTGCCTGACTTGAGAGTAAAATCATGACTCAGAATGAATGATCATAGGAACACTTAGAAAATAGGCAGAAATTTTGTCTCCTTTATAGGATCTTTGTAGGAAGAAAGAAGGTTTCTTGCAGGATAACTACTGAAACATAAATATCTGCAGAAAATTGAAGGGGTTTATAGACAACCAGAGGCAAAAATGCAGCAACAATTGTATATAAAACCTCCTTCCATGTGGAAGGGTTTTCTTTCTTTTTCTCTTTCAAGATGTGTCGCTACTTCATGTTTTAATTTCTGTCGTTTAGGTTTCTACAAGTATGCAAGTGGTTTATGAACACAGTACTGTCAAATATTTATCTGTATGTTCTCTGTAGTGACTTACAGTACTCAGGAAGCAGGTGTCATCCTGTCAGGTGCATGACTAATATTGTTTGGTTTTCTGCTAGCACCTTGAGTATATGTAGTTATATAGCAGTCTGAACTAAACAGTGACAATCTTTTTTACAGAAATTTAAAAATAAAAAGTAAGCACAGACAGCAGAAAATGTTTTTAGAAATGCAGAACATTTAATCACAGGGCAACATATGACATTTAGGGACATAACTGTTTAAAAATACTGCAGCTTTTTTTTTTCCTGTAACAGGTACCAATATAATCATTTTCCTATGCCTGCAATGTGAAGTTTCATTTATATTTGAAAAGCTTTTATCTTATAAAGTAAGGCATTGTGGACAAGTGATGTAAACAGCAATGTCATATTAAATGATTCACAGGCTTAGGCTCCAGATACCCAAAACAGAAATATGTTTAAATCTCACAGTGTTGCAGGGTGTAAGCTGGATAAATCTTCACTCAATTTTTCTTTCTCAGTCCTGAGGGTGAGATACACTAATGAGCTAATTTAACTTTTTATTTCAATATGGAAGGTCCTAAGAATATGGGGGATTTTGCCATAAACAGATGCATTTCCAATGGGTATAGTTCTGACTTTTTAAGTGGAATGTTCTCTTTCTGGTCATTTAATATTCATCTTAGCAAAACATAGCTTTGCTAAAAAAGTTCAGCATGGTAATTTGCCTGTAATGTGTCACAAAGATTATTGTGCCTGGCATAAAAAGTGGCCTTTGTGCTCAGTGTGCACTGGTGAATATTTTAGTTGTCACCTGAAATTTCAAGCAGAGTAAATTCCACCTAAGTTCTACTGTCAGTCTACATCCTGATTTTCTCCTAAAAAGCTACTAGAGAAGAAATAACTTCTTATTTTCCTTCAGAAGTATCAAAGAAGCAGAAATCTACATTTAGCATTCATGCAAAGTCACTTTGGGAAAGATGCTGCTGACTTTAATTCACTCATTATTTGATTTATAATAACTCTAAACCATATGATTTTTAAACCTATTTAATGAGATTCGGTTGGTTTGGAAGAGATCAATTATATATTTTTGAAAGGAACAAATATGTCCTGTTAGACTTTTGCTTTAAAGCCAAGCCAGCTGTGTTTTAATTATGGTATTGTTAGTTGAAATTACAGTCGCCAGTGTGCTTCTGATATTCAAACTCTTGATCATAGCTTTGAAAACATGGATCAAGGAAACAGCAATGAGTCACCATGATAAAAAGGATTCTATCGAAAAGCATAATTAGCTACATTTTGATAGACTTTTTGAAGGAAAACAAATTTATGAATGGTTTTATTTTTCCTCTTTCTATAATTTAGAAGACTTGGTTTAAATATAAATGTTAAATCAATTTAGGACCTGTTGATTAGTAGCAGTTACCAAAAAGAGGACTGTAATCAGTAAACTTCTTTTTTTAAGAAAATGCTCTTCATTTGGTGTCTTTGAAGACCTTTCAGCTGTAGAAAAGCAGAATGGGGATAATCAGATGAAGGAGAGGTGTTGAAGTTGAGTGGTTGTGTTTTGGGGTGTGGGATGTTTTTTTAAGACTGTTATGATGCCACAGACAACTCTTCATTTTTTACTGAGTCAACTCTGAATTTTTTAATTTGCAAATAGACAGTATTCATATGTGCTAAAAGACTTTTGTTGAAAGTGTTTTCATTTAGCTTCTTAAAGCTACTTTTGACAGCGTATTATTTCTGATAATATTAACGAGTTACATTCAGCATGTAGAGAACTTGTTTTAAATCTGCTTGGCCACTAGACCTAATGCCACTTTTAACACTGGGATTTCAAAAGCTGAAAAGAAAGGCCTGGACTAGGATGTTTCTCTCTGTACTTGGCGTTGGGAGGCTTACCTCGAGTACTGTGTCCAGTTCTGGGCCAGATATCTCTAATAACAGGGAGATAATGCCCATATAAAGAAAAGTAAAGAAGATACATTTCCCAGATATGGTTTTTGATAATACTTGAGCTAAATGCCATCCCTGATGCTTTAGGTCTTCTTCTCTGTAAGACAAGTATGGAAATCAAAGGCTATTCAGTGTCACTTAGTGCCCTTCCTGAAGAGAGTACATTTTTGTTAGAATTATTGTCTTTCTTTTTCTTCTGCCTTTTTAGCAATTTGTTTAACAATTTACTGCCTTTTTTTCCTTCTTCTTCTGATGAACCAGGACTGGGAATTCCCATTTCCTTACTTTTTAAAACATATATTTCTGATATATTTTCCAAAATCAAAATAAAACACAATTAAGAAGGCAGCACAATCCTTTTAATCACCTAATTATTTTTTCTGTCCTCTCCTAAACTGTCTTTTTGAAACAGATCTTTGCATCATTTATTAAGAAGGCAATTCCATGTGGCAAATAAGTTAAAAGTAATTGGATGAATTTAATAGATTAATGTTCATAAGTTGGTTATTACAAGCTTGTGAGTCTGTTCCTGGCCTCAGGATAATAAGAATGGAGACACCGTAGTTTGAGATGGCAAAAACAGTAAAGACTTTGTTGAGTGTTATAGGTACATTCCATAAGAAACAGTTACATTTAGAAAGGATTAAGTGGAGAAAATAAAGGGCTGGAAAAATTTAAAAGTTGGTTTAATGTTTAACTTACATCTCAAAAACTTCTTCTTATGTAGGTTGCTACTTTGGGATTGTGATGATCGGAGCTACAGCTACTACATTGAGGTTTCAACAAATCAGCAACAGTGGACCATGGTGGTGGATCGCACAAAAATTTCCTGCAAGTGAGTTTAGTTTTTTACACTCATTTGCATAAATTAAGAACTGGAAGCTGGGATTTCTGGTGGGTTTTTTTGTTCACTACTTATGTATGTTACTGTGAAAAGAATGATCATTGCATAACCTGTGGATTAATGCAACACTTTCAGAATCAATTTCTTAAGATTAGTTCTGGATCTTCAGACAATCAGTTGGATTCTTCATTCATAAAAAGTCTGCCTACTATACCCTTGGTTTTGTGATCACTACAAGTTAAACTGTGAGGTCACATGTTTATGGTGACCCTGGATGTCAAACCACCCTCCCTTGAGAAATGTGGTAGGAGAGGGAAGAGAGCATACTTGATAAAGGATTTTGCTACTCAAACGTCTTTTTCCCTTACCAAAACTCATGAATGTATTGTATCACATCTGAGGAGAGTGAGGGTAGGTCCCAAATCATAATAGACCACACGGTTGCCAAAGCTTGATCTTGTCTCTGTTCAAAAGTAGAGTACTTGACTTATGCACTGAACACTCTGCTTTTGAAAAGCACCCTTCCAGAGAAGAAGAGTGCTCCTTAAGCAGAGATCAAGAAGAGAGAAAAACTTCCATTTACATTTGAATATTTAAATCAGGAAAAATCAATCAGGCACGAATACTTTCCAACTGTATACTCTCCATTGGCTTTACTGCAGTTTCTGCTGATAAAATCCATTCCTCAAGTATGGATGAGTAATTTGGTGCCGAGAGCTTTCTTAAACCATGTGATGATGATTCAAATTCCTAGCAAAGATCTAGATACTGGTCATAAGACTGAAAAGACAGTCTGCAAATTCATATATGACGTATCCAGAAGCCAGGTATGCTCAGCACTCAGTGAATGTTGATGGGATGTGATTTCCTGATTAAACCCCTGGGAAGCTCAGAATTATAAAAATCTTACACATCTTTCATTTTCCCTGAGTCAGCTTTCCATGAGATGTGCTTTCTTTCTTCGGACAAAATTCAAGTCATCAGCTTATATGGGGCCAGCCCCACCCATCTTCTACTTGTGCCAACCAAAACAAAATTGATTTTACAAATTCAGAGACATTCTGCATTCTCAGTTTGTCACATAAAGCAAGAGAGTTATTCAGTCCTTTGTAGCAGCGCTGCTGACACACGTTTTTCTAAAGTTTATATTTCATCTCTTAACAAACAGTGTGACTCAAATGCTTTACAATGCACTCTGGATGTGTTGGTGAAGGAGAACTTGACATGTCCTTTCAATGCCTGTAAAGGGGGGGTACTGATGAGCAGAAAACCTGGGTTCTGCCTGCAGGTCTGGAGAACGATTAAATCTTCACTCGTTCTCAAAGGCATCTCAGCATAATAGATAAAACTCATCTTTTTGTCTGCCTCCAGCAGTGGGAGCACTAAAAGGCTGAAACCACAAAAGGGAGAGAAAGAGATATCAGGAATCTTTGTGCCCTTTTTCCTTTTACATTTTGATATTGAAAGCCTTTTAACAGTCCAAAGGAGCACTTGCTTAAGTATGCACAGTGTAGGTGAAATTGCTGATAGACTGCCCAGTTCAAATATCTTTTCACCATGTTCAAACCAAGCTTTTTTGCTTTTTTTGTTATTTTCCAAGCCTTAGCCTTGAGCAAATAAAGATACATCCCTAAAGTAAAGATAGCTACCTTCTTTGGGTATACTTCAATATCACGATTCACAACATAGATACTCTGGAAATTCTCAAAGCTGTGGCTGCATGAACAATTTTCATGTGGATTAAAGAATTGCATTTTGCCTAACTTCTTGCTCTGACAGATGTGCAGTCAGCTGGCATTATGCCAGTCTTTATTCTTGAAGTCTGCAGACACGGAGTGTCCTAGCATTGTCTGTATCTGCTTTAAACAGATAAAAAAACCTGGTCATGAAGCTACCAGAATTCACTGGCCATCAAATTTCAGGTGATTTCTTTGCATCTGATAGCATTTTTTACATTCAATTTATATGTCTTGCCTTTATGATCAGAAATATAGACTTGGGTTTTTTCAGTCAAAGAAAAGTAAATATGTTTCATTTTATTTTCAGGTATGATTTGCAGAAATACTGAAGTTACTTCAGCTCAAAAAATTACTTGAATTGTAACAGCAGATTGATAACCAAGTATATGTATCATATAAATATATGCAGTAATATCCATAGTATCAATATTTTTTCTCTAATAAATATGTTAAATACATAAAATGGTATATAACTGCCACATGCCACAAATGTTAGGACTGGTCTGTAAAGAAAAGAGCATTGTCATTTCATACAGTGTGTAATTACATACAGTACTGGCACACTAATTTTTTTTTCTGAAAAACACTGAAACACAGTATGATCTAAAAAAGCCATACTCCTAGTGTTTAAAAATAGTGGAATATAGAATAGAAGAGACATCATCATTCAGTGGCTCATGTGCTGAATGAAGGCCCTCACCTAAAATTGTTGAGTAAACTTTCAATGTGGTGGTAGAGATTTTTTAATGAAAAGGGAAAAATTGTACCAGTCACTGCCTATGACTGGTGAAGAACTATTTTTTGGGTTAGTTTCTGTAATTAAAAAAAAAAAGCTCAAATTGAAAACCTGGGGATAGTGGCCATGAAAACAAACAACTTGTTTTCACTTCAGACAATTTTAACAGTGACAACAAATAGAAAAGATAGATTTGGATCTTAACCAAAATTAACAGATGCTGGTAAAGTGGAGGTGGTACAGTTTTCTGGTTTACTATCATAGTGTAACAGTGAAGATTCTCCTGCTGGATGCAAAGGATTTCTTTTTTATCTGTCTGTCCTTCCTCTTAGCATTACATTGATAGTTTTAGTCTGCCTCTGAATGCCTTCTGTTGCTGGTTTACAGGGTCCCCAAGGAAAAGGAATGATCAGACTGAAGCACTGTGCTTGGGTTTGACTCACCATCAGGTTTAGGCAGACAGTTGTAATGCCTACATTTGGCAATTTTTATTAACCAGACTAGAGCATACAGGGATAGAAACAACAGTACCCTCATCTCTTTGTTCCCTGTATGGTTTTGAATGTTGTGCTCCTCTCTCACTTGGGTGAAACAAAACAAATCTTTTGCTAATTTTTGGTCCAATTTTGCAGCTAGTTTTTTATCTCAGCCAAATCCTATTTTTTTTATGACTATTTGACATCCCAGCCTGAAATTAACTAATCCTCTGTTGGTATAAAAATTGTCTTCACTTAGACTTGTGTCTTTGTTTAAGGAAAATAAGAAGTAGGTATGTCCTTCCATGGGATTGTGGTTGCCCACTTGACTGCAATATATATACTGGAGATGGAGTGCAATATAAGTGATTGATAAGGTCTTGAAATCCTGAGGTTAGCCTTTCTGGCATTAGTTCTGTGGTTTTATATATTGCTGTAGACTAAAGAAAAATAACTCACTTGCTTTCCAATCTAGAATCAAAGTGGATGTAGTGAAAACGTGGGAGAATTTCACAGGGGCCCACATTTGAAAAGACAGAATAATTCAATGAGAACATTTGCATTACTAGTAATATTTCCTATTCATTTTCCTGTCTTCAAAGATGTGTGGGTATGAGTTCTTTTTGTGAATAACACTTTTTGCCTTCACTGTTTGCTGCCTGGCTTTATGGCTACCTGTTCTTGCAGTGGAGTTAGATTTCTGTGGAAGTCATTAGCCTGCTCTCTTGCAAGTGTTCTGTGAGGTCTCCAAATAATTTTTGCTCAATTGCTGGCACAAAGGGGAGGATGAACTGTCTGCTGAACACAGACCTCGACAGACACCTTTGATAATCGGGAAGTGGAAGAAAAAACTGTGAGAAAAAAATTAAATTATGTTTAAAGAGCATGTATTGGTTTTGGCAGACTACTGAAGCATGAACTTCCCCCTTTAAACTCTCAGTGTGCTGCTTTAGGTTGTTTTAATGGCATTTTTAATGTAGTGTTTTGTGTAAATTAATAATTCAGTGCTCAAAGGCGGGAAGTGACAGGCTACTCCTAACCTTTTCTTCTCCCAGTTTTAAAAGGCTGAAGAAAAAACTGGATGTCTGTTATCTTCACAGAGGAAGCTTGTGTACCTTCCCTAAGTGAAAGCCAATTTATGCATACTGGTTGTGTAATTGACAATTTTCACATGCTCTATGGAGGCTATTTTTTTTTCTTTTCCACAATAAGCTGTTTTTCTCTACACAGTATGACAGTAATGAAAAACAGTCATGTTCCCTTCTATTTTTAAAAACATTTATGATAAGTGAACTTGAGCCTGTTAGTGTTGAACAACAGAGACTTGCACTTGTTAGGAGAATTTGCTGACAGAGTCTGAAAGTCAAATGAAAAACAAAAGATACCAAAGGCCAGTAGGAGAACCAGACCTCAGAGTTAATGGCACTTCTGATAAAATAAACCCTGCAAAGACAAATACTAAGCAGGCTATCACGGTGCTCATCAACTCAGTATCAGTCTTCAAAGTTCTCTGCTTTGTAGTTATTATGAAATGGATCTAATCCCTTGGCAGCAGGCATAGTATGTTCTGTCTATTGCTGTGATGGAATTTGAGAGACAATGAATATTGGTTTTAGATGGACAGTTCTAAAGCAGTTTGTATCAACTGTCTGTATGGCTGGTTGAGGTTTTCTCATGGCAGGCATTACTTGATTTCCAGGTTTGTAACATACTGCATTATACATATATTTTTAGTTCTTTGTTACTCAGAATGTTCTGCTGTTACAAAAGTGTAAAAGCTTACAAACTTAATTTTACGTTTCCATTGCTTATTGAGCTTTTATTGTATAATAGCTATTTCAATTCTCAGTTCAGTTCCCCTCAATTTTTTTTCTGTAGTTAATGTATAAATCTAATCAATAGTTTCACATGAAACAACCTTTGGAGTGTGGATGCAAAATTTATTATCAAAATTTACTAACTGTCTTCTGATTTTTTTTTTCAGAATAATTTTCAACTTTGAGATTTTTGCTCTTGTCTACTGTTTCATATTTCTTCCTC